ATACTACCTCCAGGGGGAAGATGAAAAGAGAGTAAGCCAGAAGTGACAGATGTTACATCTCTTACTGTACTGATACTGATTTTAGGGGGATAAAGATAGCGTAAGAACCCATACTGAACAGAGCAGACCATACATCACCTAAAGCCTTATTCTTCTTGCTTTGAATATAATATTTAAGGCAGAGAATAAGATCGCTTACAAAGACTAACACACTCTCCTGATCCATCTCTCTTTTTTGCTTACCATAAGCCTATTTTACTGGGGTTTTTTGTTGCTGTTTTAACATCTTCTGCCTTCAGATTCCCCATGACTTGCACACAACACACACACAGAAGAGCCATCCTGCCTTTCAGTAACATTCGCCCAGGGTTGGTTTTATGGATGACAGGGCTTTTAGAGGGCAAATATTCAACATTTGAGTCTTCATTTCCACTGTTCAGTGACCTACTTTATGGAGATGTGTGGGGGCGAGGCTGCTAGGGCATTACTTCAGGTCCATTTATAAAAGATACTCAGGACATAAATCTATGCCTTTCTTGTTGAAAGTACAAAATGTCAAGGGAAAAATATTCCTACTAAACAAGTGCAATGCTGAGTATGCCAAGAGGCTGGCATGTCCCTTGCACGGCAACATGTCCCCTTCCAACCTGCTGGAGGGACAGAGGAGACCTAACCGTCTCCCTCCTTCCTTACGAGGTGGCACAGCCCCTCCTGCCTCACTCGGTCACTCCAGGAGGAACCTCATGCACGTCACGAAGAGAGAATTCTCCCCAAAACCAGCAAACAGACACAGCACGATATTAATATATCCGTGCAAGTCCTGGCATTTAGAAAACGCGTTTGTGCCTAGGCCTTATGTTCATAATTACCACAGCAGTAATGAATCTTGATGAATCAGTAATGACCTTCAAAAGCACACTGAAACTATTTCAGCTTCCACTTAATCGGGTAATGAAGTCATACAAATAGGCAGAATTTCTTTTAAGATGCTAAATAAGGCTGATCCCAAACACTAGTTTTTCTTCCCCCTTTCTGATTTTCTTGAGTGTTACAGGACAGTAAATTTAAGAGCTGACATCATTCATCACTGCCTGCAGAAATTGTGATGAGCTTATAGGTGCAGCCATCTAATGGATGTTTCCAATAAATCCCATCAATTTCCCAAATGATTCCCCAGTAAGTACAGATAATATAGCAGTTACTGTCTGCCAGATGGGCAATGCATGACTGCACAAACTTCACTGTCCACTTCACCCTGGCAAGCAGGTAACAAAGTTTGCATGCAACTGCCATCCATCATGCCAAACTCAGCTCTTACCCTACAATAATCCTCTCAGTTCTTTACCTGTTCGTAAGCTATGCACTAATAAGCTTGAAGAACACATTTCTTTTGGCCGACAGGCTGCTCCCTTGTCCATGAATCTGTTGGTTAGTGTTTCTATCCCTACATTCTTCAAGGGATAATTGAGGTGGGAAGGGAGCTCAGGAGGTCTCTAGTCCAAGCTCCAGCTCAAAGCATGGCCAGATGTGAGGTCAGACCAGGCTGCTTAGGGCTTCATCAGGGCTTCAAAACCTCCCGGGCATGGAGATCCCACAATGTTTCCTGCTCGGATGTCCTCACAGGGAAAAAGTTGCTCCTTATACGCAGTCTGAACTTCTCATTTCAGCTCACGCCCCTTGCCTCTCACCTTCCCAGTACACACTGGTGGAAAAGCCTGGCTCCATCCTCTCGATACATCCCTTACAGGCAGGGGACGGCTGCTGTTAGGTGCCCCAGGGCTGTCTCTTCTCCAAGCTGGACAAGCCCATTCCCCTAGCTGCTCTTGACCATCTTCACGGCCTCCGCTGTACTCAACCCAGTTTGTTGAAGCCTCTGCTACATCGAGGGTCCAAAACTGGACGTGGTATCCATTGGCCTCCATTGCTGCCATGGCACGTTGCTGCTCATGGTCATTCACTGCCTACCAGGACCCCGCGGAGCTGCTCCCTGGCCAGGCAGCCCCAGCCTGTACCACTGCAAGGGAAGAGCCCTCCACAACTACCTCCCCAAGCTCCTTGCGTTGCTCCAGCATAGGCATTCTGAAGTTAACTAAAAGTCCACAAAATTGCGCAAAATCATTTCAAGGGTTATCAAACAGTAAAAATAAATACTTCTGGTTTATACTTACAAAAGTGAGCAAAAAAGTGAAATATTCAAGGATCCCTGAACAATAACACAAATAGAAAATAAATAGCAAATAATAAAATAAGAACTAACTAAACCAAATAAAATTAGTGTTTTCTTCCCATCTCTCAAGGTTTGTGTATGTGTGCATTACGTTTCAGGGTGGGACACAGCAAAGGTGAACTGTGTAAAAATGCTGACTGCTTGTTCACTTACACACGCACAAATTTTGCGCCTCTATCAGTGAACACAACTCTCTGCAACTCATTTTCCAAACACACCTTATTTCCAGTCCACATCTCCAAACTATGCTTCACCAGTTTGGCTATAAAGATGCTACGAAAGACTGTGCTGAAGGCTTTACTAAAGTCAAGGCAAACAGCTTTTCTCTCCCTCTCCTTGCCCACAGAGACAGTCTTTTTATTGTAGCAGGCGACCAGGTTGGGTCAGGCACAGCCAGCTTCTGATAATCCATGCTGGGTGTTTCCAGTCACCTCCTGGTCCTTCACATGGACTGACATAGCTTGTAGGAGAACACGCTCCCTGACCTTCCCCGAGGTGAGGATGACTGGCCTGCACCCCCCTGCATCTCCTTCGTGCCTTCTTGGAAGATGGGCTAAAATTTCAGTTTTCCCAGTCTTTGTTAGATCTCTGTAGGTCACCATGACTTTTCAAAGATAACAAAGTGGCTTTGAAGTGACACTGGCCAGTTCCCTTAGATACCTCCTAGCCAGTCCCGTGGGCTTATATATGTCTGTTTTGCTTAAGTGGCCCCTAACTCAATCACATGGCTTTCCTTCCCAGGCTCCTCTCCAAACCACAAGTCAATCCTGTCTCATTGCCCTGTTGTACACAATATTCTTCCTGAAACACTTGAAGTGGGCAAACTTTCAAGACTCATGTCAGAAGCAATGTGGTGCTCAAGCGGGATCTATGGTACCAGTATTGTACTGAAGATGGAGGGCAGGCTCATGTATTAAAATCTAAATAATAATTTATCATGAAAGTTGTAAGAGAGACTGTTTAGCCATGGCATGTACTTGCAAAGTATTACTGACATTGTAAAATTTAGAGAATAGAACTGTGGATATACTCTTTGAGGCAAAAGTGTGCATTTAATCTTTTTGAAATAGTAGAAAGCATATACTTGAATGTGTTTGGTAAAAAGGGGTCAGAAGATGTCTATTAAACATTTTCCTTCCATGCTGTCCTGGTTTTCACAGGGATAGATTTAAGTGTCTTCCTAGTAGCCGGTACAGTGCTGTGTTTTGGGTTCAGTATGAGAAGAATGTTGATAACACACTGATGGTTTTGGTTGTTGCCAAGTAATGTTTAGACCAAGTCAAGGATTTTTCAGCTTCTGATGCCCAGCCAGCAAGAAGGCCGGAGGGGCACAAGGAGTGGGGAGGGGACACAGCCAGGGCAGCTGACCCAAACTGGCCAAAGGGGTATTCCATACTGTGTGACGTCATGCCCAGTATATAAACTGGGGGGAGTTGGCCTGGGGCAGATCACTGCTCGGGAACTAACTGGGCATTGGTCGGCGAGTGGTGAGCAATTGCATTGTGCATCACTTGTTTTGTATATTCTAATTCTTTTATTATTATTATTGTCATTTTGTTAGCATTATTTTTATCATTATTTTCTTCTTTTTCCGTCCTATTAAATTGTTCTTATCTCAACCCACGAGTTTTACTTTTTTCCAATTCTCTCCCCCATCCCACTGGGTGGGGGGAGCGAGCAAGCGGCTGCGTGGTGCTTAGTTGCTGGCTGGGGTTAAACCATGACACATACTATAAAAACGTTTTCCAGTGTGTTCTTTGTTGTCTTACTTCTAAACGGCATGCACCGCATGCCTTATCCCAGTGAATAACAAGCACAATCTGAGGAAAAGCACAGCAGCTCTTCATATAAAAGACAGGATGGATAGTAGATATAATACTGACACTATTTGCCACTGCATTTTAGCAGAAAATAGTATTCTGAAAACAGAAATGCTTTTCTTTATCCTTCTCCGTAGAAATCAACCAGCAACAACTCTTTTTTTTTTTCTGGTTGCAACTAATTTTTGTCAGGAAAAAAATTCTTCATTCAGAATGTTTCCTAGTTCATTTTATTAACATAGACTACCTCAGTTATTACAGTCGACTATTGGGGGGAAAATTCTATGAAATCTGTTGGTTACAAACCAGCTATTAGCAATGAGATAAAGAAAAGCAGGCAATTACTATTGTCTTACATATTCCTATTCCATAGTACAAGATATTTATTATCAAAGTAATAGCCAAGGCTCTAGCTCATCAAAGAGAGAGACGTTTCAATCACTGATCTGGAAATACACGTTACAGATACCTTAAACTTCTTGCTAATTGGGAATAGCATGATTCACCCACATGCAATGCGTAATCTTTAAGGAAAAAGGGCTCCTTCCTTCATACTTGGCACTTGCTGTTCGATTAGAGTAGCTGGATGGATTCAGTTTGGTTAACATAACACCCTCCTGTTTCTCCTTGTAATTTCCTACTAGCTATTTTTTCATGATTCTGACTGCCTTGAAGTCCTAAATAAAGGCCAAAGTCCTTTTATAGAAGCAAGACAGTAAAAGAAGACGCGTCTGGGTAAATCAGATCCTAGTGCATTTTGGGGAGAGTGAACCACATGCTACTTATTCAGGTTTCTGTTCTTTAATCAAAGCAACTCAGCCCTTGATCAAGGGTCTGCTTGGATATCTTTGTGGCGAGAAGTGCTCTGTATATACACTTTTTTTCCCTGAGTAAAGGAAAGCCATAGCTTGGCTGTATCAAAGTAAAACTGATATCAAAGAAAGCCTCCTTACCTGTACTGCTGGAGATGTTGACATCAATGCTGATATCTGATATGCCACCTCCCTTCAGAGACGCAACACATGTGTATGTCCCAAAGTCAGTGAATTTCAAGTCAATAATGTCCAGGTTTGTGGTGCCAGGTGAAACATCGGGGTCAGTCTGTGTGATGACCATCCTTTCAGAGCTTCGCAAGGGACGTCCATTTTTAAACCAGCTGAACGTAAGCTCTTCAGAAGGGATGGCTTCCACCTGGCAGGAGATTTTCACCTCTCGCCCAATCTGGATGTTGTCATCTTTGTGATATGGGTCAGGGGTGATCCAAAAGCGTCCTTTTTTTAAGGCTGAAATATGCAAAAAAAAAAGTTTACTAAAGTACAAATTTTGCACATTCAGACTTTGCAAAGACTTATGCTCACGCTTCACTTTATGCTTACATATGATTTTAATAGGGCTTGTAGTGATAGGACAAGGGGTAATGGTTTTAAACTAAAAGAGGGTAGATTTAGACTAGCTATAAGGAAGAAGTTTTTCACTGTGAGGGTGGTGAAACCCTGGCCCTGGTTGCCCAGAGAGGTGGTCGATGCCCCATCCCTGGAAACATTCAGGGTCAGGTTGGACGGGGCTCTGAGCAACCTGGTCTAGTTGAAGGTGTCCCTGCTCATGGCAGGGGGGGTGGACTAGATGAACTTTAAAGGTCCTTTCCAACCCAAACCATTCTATGATGCTCGGGAATACACTGAAACTTCCAATGCACACATTTAGCACATGGTTAATTTTTTTGTAGGATCAAATCTTAATCAATTATCATCACAGAGTATACATTGCTAAAATACTTGTCATTTCCTAAATGAAAAATAAGAAGTCACAGCACCTAAATTAGTTTGAGCTGCTGGCAACTGAAGAGTAACCAAAAAAATTCATGAACATTCAGTGTTTGTTATCTGTCTCTGGAGGTATTTACAAGCCCTTCCTCGCCCCCATGCTATCAGAGCACTGAGAGAAGAGAAAATAGAGATATCAACCTAACATCACTAATACAACCAGCGGTGTCATCTCCAATCTATCCGGAAAACAACCACAACCATGCAAAATAGCTTTATGTCAGCTGGTTAAATGAGAAGAGGTAAGCACATGCCTGAGGCTACAGCCTGCCCTGGTTTACATACACTGCTCCTTCCCCAGGGCAGCCTGGAGGGCTCCCTCGGTCCCCGCGGCTGCCCGGAGCCTTACCCCACCGAACTGCGGAGCCTGGTCCAGGTGGGGAAACTGCTGCCAGCTCTAAAAGGTAAGGGGGCTCAAAGTACATCTTTAGGCAACGGTCAACGGGAAAAGGCAAAAAGATGCTCTTCAGAGGTGTCACCACGCAGGACAGCCCATCACGAGCACCTTGGTTGCGCTTCCCCAGCTGGGTCTTGTCAGATGAGGAAAACCCATCCCGTACTTGCAGGAGAAACCTGAGGCTGAAGGTTGCACACATAACTGAGAGCAGAACATGATCATTTAGAGAGGCACTCTGTATCCCAAGGATCTCTACCTGCATCCAAGACTATTGTCCTGGTTTCAGCTGGGATAGAGTTAATTGTCTTCCCTGTAGCTAGTACAGTGTTCTGTTTTGGGTTCAGTATGAGAAGCATGTTGATAACACACTGATGGTTTCGGTTGTTGCAAGTAGTGTTTAGACCAAGTCAATGATTTTTCAGCTTCCCCTGCCCAGCCAGCAAGAAGGCTGGAGGGGCACGAGGAGTTGGGAGGGGACACAGCCAGGGCAGCTGACCCAAACTGGCCAAAGGGGTATTCCATACTGTGTGATGTCATGTCCAGTGTATAAACTGGGAGGAGTGGAGGTGGGGGGATTGCCTCTCGGGGACTAAGTGGGCATCAGTCGGTGGGTGGTGAGCAATTGCATTGTGCATCATTTGTATATTCCAATCCTTTTATTATTACTATTGTCACTTTATTATTGTTATTATTATCATTATTAGTTTCTTTTTTTCTGTTCTATTAAACTGTTCTTATCTCAACCCACGAGTTTTACTTTTTTTCCAATTTTGTCCCCCATCCCACTGGGTGGGGGGAGTGAGTGAGCGGCTGTGTGGTGCTTAGTTGCTGGCTGGGGTCAAACCAGAACAACTGTTTAAGGCTGCAATATAAATTAATTTAATTCTCTAGCCCACAGCAAAGCAGAGATCAGGTAGCCTCAGGGTTTCAGATGGGAACCCCAAGGCAGACGAGGTTTTTGAGGCCATCTCAAAGGCAGGCTCAGCGCTCAGGAGAGCCCTACACCCATGCAGGGGCACAGTAACTCTGGAAAACATTATTTCCCACCATCTTCCTGGTGAGACCAGCATCTTTTACTAGCATTTGCTCATTAGTCTCCTGCACAAGAGTAAAACAATACTGCAACTCACTTACCTGATTTTTCTTGTCACTCTCTAAATGAGCATAGAACTATCACCATTTACATCAATAAAGTGATTGCTCTAAAGCAGTGTTGGTATGATACTTATTTTTGAAAGAGTGCTTCAGAATTAGCCGTTAAGTCTTTCAGATACACATATATTTTGATGTACTGAATATAAAATGCTACTTATACAATCGCAAGATCCCTCTCCCCCTATATATGTGTGCATAAGTATATATGTATGTTTATATATGCTCTCTCCAACTGGAAAGTCCCACAATTAAAATACCAGTTAGAAATGTTACAAGCAAATACCCAGGTTGAATGCAAGCACTGGAAGACATATTTAAATCCATCATTTCTTGTCATCATGCTGACTTCTATTCTAAAAGTTTTCCAAGTTTCCCTGTTTTCTCACACTCTCTGCCCCCTTATCCACGCACAGTGCCCCACACGTGGAGCATTTGAGTAAAGGACCCATTTGCAGCACCCTCCTTTCTGCCCTCATATATTTACACACTTACAGCCAACGAAGCGTGACGTCATTACAAACGGCAAAGGCTATGAGCTGAAAATTTCCCTGGATCCCATACTTTGGGTAATATGTACTTTTCACTTGCTGCATTCAGAAAGTGTAACAACATCAAATACAAAATAGATGAATAAGGCACCAAGCATGCTAAGAAAGCACGGTGCTTCAGCTCCTTACATCTCTACAAGTGGCGAAAATGCTAATTCAGACTCAATTTTGTTGGCTCAGTAGCTCCTTGAACAAAACAACTCTTGGGAGCTTGCAAATGCCATGCTGAATTAGCACTTTCGCAACTTCGAAAAGAATTAACATTTAATGAATAATTAGGGTTTTTTCAATGTGGGAAAAGAAGCATAAAATCTGGCTACTTGTGGACACCCCCTCACACACGGTGTGAGAAACTTCTTCCATTGAGGAAGCCAGCCCTTTTAATTACAGAATGAAAAAACTGTTACATTTGCTGTGCTGATCAGGTATGGCAAGAAAGGAGTTTGTCTGGGTGCTGCTGTTTAGTTGTAACTGTGTATTCAAGAATTCAAGTGGCTGATGTGTTTTTAAGAATTTATTATTATTTCATTTATTTAAGAAAGTTTCGTGACTTTTACCAAGATTAAGTTTGCACCAAAACGCGCTAGTCTTTACTGAGCATCTCTCACTTGCTTTTAAAAGCTGCAGCCCGTTCCCCAGGAAGCAGAATGAACACGCGCTTTGATTCAAGAGCATGAACTATACATTGTATGACAGCGAAACTGCCACAGCCAGTAACTTTGAAACATGAGCTGAACTTTTTTGTTTGAAAATGGAAGAACAATGCTTACATACACAAAAAACAGTAAATATATTATGCAAATAATTTCCAGACAGGGAAAAAGAAAAAAATAACTCAGTAGGCATGATGAGCAGCACATTTCAACCAGAATTAGTTGCTAATAACCTCAATAAACTATTTTTATTTCTGAATTTTTCTCCTTTGCTTTGAGTGCTCATATAGACCATTTCATCAGCTTCTCATTCTTACAAAGGAACAACAAGGTCTAATAGAAAAGTCACATGAACTTTCATCTCTCCTTCGTTACGGCTAGTGCCACAATACCGTCTGCAAGCTAAGATAAGGGGTACAGAACCTCCAACTTTGGGCCATAAGCCACTTACTTCATGGGCTGGGAAGGGCTCCACGCTCTGTCTCATGGACTGAATTACAAAACCAACTAAATTTTGTGTCTGTTGCCTGTTGGTTTGGTTTTATGCAGGCTGTGTTAGGTACAAGAAATAACTGAGCTGGATCATCCACTGTCCTGATCTGCTACAGCAAACTCTAACCACCGAAGAGCTGTGCAGAGCATACACCCGAGCTAAGTATTTTTCCATACATCCAAATACAAGGAGTTCAGAGGAGGGCTGTGACTCAGTGCACTACATGGAAAAAGTTAAGGGAGTTTCTATAAATTCTGAAGTGAAGGAAAAAGTCTCTTTGCTCTATTCCCTTTCCTCCTCCCTTCCCCCAAACCAAGCCTCTTAATGTCTCTTAAGCCATGTGAACGTACACACTATATTCATCAGTTACAGCCATGAAATCCCCACATCAAACAATCCAACTGTGTAACTACAACCTATGATTGAAAGTCAATGTACTGTTTTCATAACCTCATTCTCCAAGACTCCAAAAACTGCACGGTTATCAGCATTTTCTTCTGTCAACAACAAAATCAGCAGAAAATTTGACTTTAAAATACAGTGTCTTTTCAGAGTTAAGATCATTAAACAACCCATATCTGTAAATACCTAATCTCACTTGGCACCAGAATAAACACAGTGATCTCTACAATTAACCTGTGTCTCTCGGAATTTCTAATGCGCCACCAAAGCACATGAAAATCACCATCTGTACCTGGAAGATATCCCCAAGAAATCAACCGCAGGTGCCCGAAGACACCTGATAGCTGCAGACACGTGGAGCTGGAGGGCAGTGGAAGCGGGGAGCAGCATGGAGCCCTGACGGGCAGACACGCTCCTCTCTGACCTGGGAGCCGGGACCACGGCCAGAACTGTCCCAGGCACGATAGTGCCGAGTTGCTCAATATTTGGCCCAGAAGTAGCCCAACAAACAGAGTGCCTCTCACTGGAATTCCTGGTGAGCTTGCTCCACCATTCATTGTCAAGGATGGAAAGCACTGCAAGATGCAGTACTGCCGCCGCTCCTGAGCGGTCGCAAACCTCCCTTCCCCAAATCCCGAAAATGGCAGTAGCAGCTACGGTGCTACAGCATCCTAGGAGGTAGAGCTCTTTGTAGGAAAGGGAAATTGAACCTGGATCTCCCGCTCCAGACTGATGAGACTCCAAATCCCTTCACATACTGGAAACTTCCTGACCTACCGGGTGAGAACCCCTTCCGAGCAGATGAACCACTC